ATTATAAATAAATCTAATTAAAATAATAATTAATTATAAATAATTATAATAATTATAATAACAATTATAAATTATAATAATAATTAAAAATTATAATAATAATAAGTTGAGTAAATTGTAATTAATTATAAATTGTAAAAATAATATTAATAATTATAAATTATAAATGCTAATAATAATAATTATTATAAGAAATAATAATAATTTTTAATAATAATTATAATTAAAATTAATTATAATAATAATTACAAATTAGAATTAATTATAATTAATATTAATAATTTGTAATAATAATTATAATTAATTATAATAATTATTATAAATCTCAACAATAATAATTATAATTAATTATAATAATAGTTAAAATTATAATAATAAAATTTATATATTAAAATAAAAATGAATTATAATCTATTTTAATAGTAATTAGAATAGTCACTACATATGGAAAAATTTAATAATTATATTTCTGATTCAGGGTGTTAGCAGACCTGGACAATCTAATGCCAGGGACGACGACGAGGCGTTCGATGACTATTATGATAGTTCTGGCACCCGACACACTAGAAGTCGGGGTGTCAATGCGTCCGTTCGCCGAGACAGACGGGCGATGATCAATGAGGCTCGGAGGGTACAGATTCGTCAGGCTAGCCAGAGTTTGAGACCTCCCGCACCAGTGCGAGATGTTCATTTTAAGGGCCAGCCAGATAGTTCGCGACTCCATGGAGTCCTCCCGTACGGTGAGCATGGATTTTATTATCCTGGTCAAGCAGGCAGTTCGATGCCCCCGGCACCAGGACCATACGATAAGTCGGGATATGCTTTTCCCCGCTACGCAGGGAAGTCGATACCTCCTCACGCACGCGTACCATTACCTTATGGTCAGCAGGGGTATGCTGATGAGTCGTACGGCGAAAGGGAGCAGGGTTCAGAGGAGTGTGACTCGGACGACTCCTCAGATGATCAGGACCACGCACAGCCTACGGGTCCTAGCCACCCTCGTCCTCCTGTACAGCCTGTTCGTCCGGTATAGCCGGTTCTACAGCAGGTTCGTCCGGTACAGGCTGTTCGTCCTACACAGGCTGCTCCTCAACGACAGGCTGGGGGGCGTTTTGGCCCATCTACATCCTCATCAGGTAAATAATTTACGTATTTATTGTTGTTTAACATAAATTATTTTCACTTAATCATAACAAATTATCGGTACTGTTAGAAAAGTATTATCGGCCTGCTCCTCAGCTACGGTATAATTATTTTGTAATTTAGAGGAACCATACAATTAATTAGTTAGAAAATTATTATAATTATTTTTATTATTGTTATAATCAATTAGTAGTAATGTTACATAATAAATTAGTTTAAAATTTTTGTTATATTTTATTAACGTAAAATGTAACGTTTGAAAATTAATTGAAAAAAAAAAAGAACGGGAAACTTATGAAATATGTTTTATTAAATATATTTTATTCAATGCATTTGCCAGCAAGTCAATATATACAGATATGTTGTATTTTAATGCAGGTACTAGCAAACGAGCTAGGACCGACGATGCGCCCTGGATCGTTAAAGGCCCAGTGCCCGGTGGGCCCATTGATGGGAGTGTCATCCTAGCTTTCTAGGTCACGTCGCCTCCCGCATGTGGAGTGGAGATTTGACGGGGACCGCTGAAATGCCACAACAGACTGAGAGAGATCGAGAATCTGAAGGCTTGGCGTGAAGAGATGTCTTCCGATGCGAGAGCTTTTCTCGACCAGACCGGGCTGTCACATTTGGCCGACTCCACGCACATCCACTTGGACACCCCACTCCTTTCTGCGTTTGTGGAGCGATGGCAGCCGGATACTAACTCGTTTTACCTGCCTTTTGGTGAAATGAGCATCATGCTGCACGACGTCCGAGCCATTTTGGGCGTTCCTGTGTAGGGAGCCGTGGTCGCTGAGGACCCGGATTCGGACGCCTGCCATGGGCTCTGCATGTCGATACTTTAGGTCACCAAGGGCGAACTCATGAGTTCGTTCTGGCAGCGTGGTTCGGTGTCCAAAGCCGCCATTTCGGGGGCATTCAGGGGGAAAGGCCGGCCGGCTAGGGATGAGGCGGGTGCCTGGATGTGGGTGATGCTGGCTACCACATTGTTCGTCGACAAGAGTGGTAGTAGAGTGACCCCCAAGCTCCTGCACGAGGTGCTCGACAGCTTGGATTTGATTGGGGGTTACTCATGGGGATCGGCTACGCTGGCATACATGTACAGACAGCTAGGTATTGCCAGCCGAGGGGACTCTGCTCAGATGTCGAGCTGCTTGACTCTTCTGCAGTCTTGGATATATGAGTATTTCCTCGATTTCCAACCCCGGGGACGTCTACCCATCGGTCCTGACTGTCTCGCACGATCACGCTCGTGGAGCGTAGGGAATGCCCCACGGTCAGACGATCGGCTCACAGCCATCCGTCGGCGCCTCGACAGACTCACTGCCTCCGATGTACGTGAAGTTATTTTATTTAAATTTAGTTACCCGTTATTTAAAATAATATAATTATTTTTATAAATGCTTTTATGCAATTGTGAACAGGTGCAATGGTTGCCATACGGCAGTTCCAGCCCAGATGCGATAGAGCCGAGGACTCTTTATAGCGGATTGATTCGATATCGCGATGTCGTCGAGCCGTACTTGCCTGTGCGGTGTCTGCGTCAGTTGGGGTATGTCCAGACTGTCCCTCCCCCTACATACCCGCCAATCAGTGCAGTACGTGGTTGGGAGTCTAGGAACTACAGGGTTGAGCATTCTGAGGCTGCTGCAGTAGGTGCCTGGACCCAGTTCCCGATTTCTGGGACGGTCAACACCGGTATGTTGACCCCCACCACACAGGATCGCGGGGAGGCGACTGAGGATTACCTGCAGTGGTACAGTCGGGTTTCCCATCCGACCTCATGGGCGAGGAACTGCCGGACGAGAACGAGGTCCCTACGCGTGTCAATACCGCCTATGTAAGTTGGTTACTAAATTTTAATTAATGTTATTTCATTACAATAATTTTTTTAATAAATTTTAGTCATATCTTTTTATTCTTTCATTTTTTCAGTGGGTGGACCGTCTTTTGGGCATTACATCGACCATGCAGCAGTTCCTTGTTGAATGTCCGGAGGTGGCGGAAGTCCAAGAAGATTTTTCTAAGTTTAAGTTGGATTACGACAATGCCCAATAATGATGTAATGAATGTTTTTTTATTATTATTATTGTAAAACATTAAGTTGAATGATTTTTTTTTTATTATTTGTAAAACTTTAAGTTGAATGATTTTTTTTTTATAGTATATAGTATTTTTAATACATAGTATATACATATATGTTATAATTTAACTTCAATTTCTACCTATATGTTTTAACTTCCATTATTTTTCATACAAATCACGCGTTAACGATCCACGTGACATGATAGACACGAAGGATAAAAAAAATCACAATTTACAAATGTAGTACCACTTCGAATGAAAAATAGTACCGCATTTGCTTCTGAGTAGTACCACTTTTAGTTCATACGTGCTTTGGAATAATATCAGCGATAGCCTAGCGCGGCCTAATGTTATAATACTATTTCATACGTATTTAAGGAATACGTTTTTCCCTTTAAAACGTATTCTCTAAATTTTTTCTTGAAAAATGTATTCTTAAAATACGTGCTTTTTATTTATGTCGACCTACTTTTTTTATTTTTTATTTTTGTCCACTTAATTTTTTTTATTTTTATATAAATAAATAATTCTTCATTTTGTTTTTTTATTTGCTAAACTTAAGTTGAATGAGAAGCGTCATGCCACAAGTGAATAATATCGTTCTTTTATTCAACAAGGTTTTTTTTTATTAGTAAACCACAATCGCAACCTAGCCTCGTACTGATCCTCCCAACCCACAACCGATCGATCTCGGCAACGGAACCACATGGAATGAATAGGCGGCAATGGACAATCATGAGTCAAATCTAAACGAATGTAGTGTTCTACGGTACCAAGATGGCACATGACAATCTCACGACATGGTCCTCTAGCCGATGATCGTGCAATGAGAGGCAACACTGTGATGCTGAATAAGTCGTGCTGCGCACCTTGCGGACCAGAGCCCAACAGAACGACAACCGCATTAAATAGGGTCGCAACGGCGTAGAGGTCCTGCGGAACTTCGAACCAGTGAGACCGTCCACAAAGGCCGTCGGCCCACCTTACGCGATGGAGTCCGGTGTCAATATCTCTAAAATGGATGTACTCGTACAATTCACGGTGGCTGTCGACCTCCTTCGCAATGCTTTCTCTTGCATCTGCCCAATACTTCTGGTGACCATACACGTGACTCGCGATGACCCTAAATCAGATGACGAACGTATTGGTCATTGCCTCGGTATTTGCTTGATTGCTTTGAGTGACAATTATCTGCCTTGTGAGGTTTTGATCCTTACTCTTTCTTTCTTCTTAGATATTGGTCATATTCTTGAATCATTAGAACTTGCCTTGAGTTTGTTTCAAAGGAATTGATTAGAGTTTGAAACTGCGAAAGTGATTTAGACGTTTTGTTTGATTAGCTCTCTTTAGCCTTGTTCGTGATCCTGAAAGTGTATTTTTTTCCGTTAGTAGCCCGTTTGAGCCTTGAGCTTTTACTTGTCAGCCATGCATATAATGTATTTTGTTGACTGATTTTGTGATGATTGGTGAAAATGGTGTAGTTATTGAATGAGGTGAATTGGAGTTGGATTTCTATCGCCTGACCTATATATATATATATATATATATATAAACATGAGAGCTCACAGGACGAATCGAATGGATTCTGCTCCTCTTACTAGTCGACTCATTTTGACAGGTAATGAGTATTGGGAAACTACTGTAGGAAACTTGGATGACGTCCAATGTTCACATCTACAGAATGTTGTCCTTTAAGGTCAAGTATTGAAGTTGCAGCTTGAGTTGAGCATTTAAGTGATGTTTGTGGAGTTTTGTTGGATGGGATGTGTGCTGTCATGTTGATTCTTAGATGAGTAGCGGATCCTTTGAGTAGTTTACTTGCTTGATTACTTGAGCTTCTTGTCCTGCATATATATCCTTACCGTGACTAAAAAGCCTACATTACAACCCGTGAAGCCCTCTTGATTCGCATCTTTTGAGCTTTGATTGTTTTTAAGTAATTTAAACGATTGACAAGCATATGTTGAAACTTGAATATCGACCAATCTTGAGCGTACCTATCACATATTCATGTAAGAAAATGAGTGAGGCATATACTGTTATTCATTTGTTTGAGAGTTTGTCACTTCAAGGCCAAGTTGATTTTTGAGGCATATGGTCATACGGTCGTTGGAATTCGACTCGATTGAGTTGGGCATTTGAGGCTCTCCTTAAACCGTATCCATGCTCGTGTCTTGTTTTCTTTTCTTTTTGTTCGGGACGAACAAAGGTTTAAGTGTGGGGGAGTTGTTTGTCCCATTTTTGTTGCGATTTTCGTTTTCATTTTGTCTTTCTTTTTCCCCATATTAGGTATTTTCGTTGGTTTTTAGTTCGTTTTTTAGTTTATTGCATGTTTTGTTCTATTTTGGTTTTCTATGTGTTTTCCGTATATTTTTCCGGTTTTTCTTTGTTATGGTGTGTAGGTCGGAAGCCTCGGGAGGACCGGGTTTCAGGCGAAAATTAGTCGGGCAAGCGTAATTAAATAGGAGTTCGTTGGGAACACACAAGAAAAAGCGGAATCGAATTCCGAGTCGAAACGAA